CGTGTAATCTTACAAAGACTACTTTTGAGCACGCGTGTAATCTTACAAAGACTACTTTTGAGCACGCGTGTAATCTTACAAAGACTACTTTTGAGCACGCGTGTAATCTTACAAAGACTACTTTTGAGCACGCGTGTAATCTTACAAAGACTACTTTTGAGCACGCGTGTAATCTTACAAAGACTACTTTTGAGCACGCGTGTAATCTTACAAAGACTACTTTTGAGCACGCGTGTAATCTTACAAAGACTACTTTTGAGCACGCGTGTAATCTTACAAAGACTACTTTTGAGCACGCGTGTAATCTTACAAAGACTACTTTTGAGCACGCGTGTAATCTTACAAAGACTACTTTTGAGCACGCGTGTAATCTTACAAAGACTACTTTTGAGCACGCGTGTAATCTTAGGGACTCCAGTGACTCAAAAACATCAAGGATGCAACCTGATAATTTCGTTTATTTTATGACGTTTTGAAAGAAAGAAAAACTCAAAAATGTTATTAAATAAAGACAGCTTTAGGCTTAAGATCCACCCCTCAGATTAAATGGACCAAAAAAACCTGCGTTTAACCTGTCAAGTTTCCCAAGACCAGGTAAAACTGTCAAACTTTGTCAATTTTGCTTGGGTTTTCTAATCGTTGCCATCTATATTGTGATTTTGATTTTCGATTCTTGTTCTTTTTTTGTCTCCTTCGCTCTTTTGGTTTTGATCTTAGATTCTTGTTATATTTATTTTTCGTTATTTTGATTTTTTGTTCTTGTTTGGGGTCAAATTCTTGTACATGTAATTAGGGTTCCTCCAACTTGGTGGATCGAATCAGTGAATTACCAGATGTAATTCTTGTGACTATAGTGTCCTGCTTGCGTGCACTGAAGGAAAAAGTAGCTACTAGTATCCTCTCGAAGCGATGGCGTTATGTTTGTGTTTATACTACGACTCTCGACTTCGGGGGACCTGATGACATGCAAATCGAAGCGTACGTCAAGCGGGTGAATAGTGTAGTGGATCAACACAGAGGTGGAAACGTAGAGCAATTTAGGGTTTATATTGATCTCGTAGACGAGAGGTATAAAAGTTCAACAGGTATATGGCTTCATTTTGCTGCGAAAAGGAGAGTCCAGAAACTTGAGTTGTTCGTGTCACGCAATGATAAGTATGATGACTATGGAATTGAGCTATACTAGTTGTCTCCAGAATCTCCAGGGAGTCTTAGGTACCGGAGGGGGGTTGGGGTCCCCTGTGAAGCACCTGTGTGGGTCTCCTGAAAGTGAAAATCTTTGCCCTTGTAGATACAGTTGCTTAAAGTTTCTAAAAAGTATTGATGTGAGGTCTAGTCGAATGACTGCAGAAGTTGTTGAGTGCTTCTTGTCTAACTGTGTATTTCTTGAACGAGTATCACTGTTGGGTGCGAAGTCAGGTAACCTAAGAGTTGTTGGTTCATCGATTGCATTGAAGTACTTAGAGATACATAGTTGCTATTTTGAAAGCGTTGAGATCCATGATGCAAACCTTGTTTCATTGATTTATTATGGACCCAAGATAAACTTGCTTCTTAGGAATGTATCGCGGCTTACTGAGATGTCTATTAACTATTTACCCCCAGTTCGTATGGCTCTAGACTTCTGCCAACTTTTCTTATGTTGTTCTCAGCTCGAGGTCCTCAAACTAGACACAACCTGGGTTAGTGAATGCAAATTAATTATATATGTGTTGGTTTTCATTCCTTTTAATTCTTCTTGGATTTTATATTATATATATCTTGTTTGGTTTTCAGCTCTACGAGAAGGATCATACATTTCTTAAATTACCAAATATCAAACATTTGGAATTAGAATTTGCAGCTGAGGACAATTGCTGCCTCCTTAAATTAGCTTCCTTCCTTGAGGCATCTCCTAACTTGCAGAAACTGGTGTTGGAGGTATAATATCTTACTTGGTATTTATATTTACTGTGATGTTCACTCGTTTGACACTTTTAATGTATACAGTTGTTATTCCAGTTCAATCACTCACCTAGGTTAGTGCTCCACTGAATTCATACGTTGGTCAATTATTTTAAGTCAATTTAATTATTGACTGCTAGCTTGCTTTGCTTTTGCTTACTACACTCCTTGAGCAGTTTTTTCTGTGAACCTTAGCTATGTATGACTTTTGTAACCAAGTAGGAAGACACCTTCATCTTCCATTTCTTTTTGGTGCAGTTGAGCGGTACAAGATCCTTGTTCATTCCCACTCCCTCAGGCAGCGGCGGACGCACAAAGGGACAAATGGGGTCAGTTGACCCCATGGCAGCTGGGAATTGCAGTGGGGAAGGAATGGTGTGACCCCATGGCTGGCTGTTGTGTGACCCCATGGCGCACACCAAGTGCTCGATGAAATGCCTAGTAGAGGAAGAAGAAGAAGCTTGCGCAGGCAGCGCCTGCCTTGCTCGCACGCGAGCTTCTGTGTTTTTTTTTTTTAACCGCCTGGCCAAAACGACGCCGTTTTGGTCCAGGCATGTTAATATATTTTTTTTTAACCTGGCTTCAAAACGACGTCGTTTTGAGCCAGGTTTTTTTTTTTTTTTTCCACAAAAAACAAAGAACCCCATCCCATCTCTACCCGATTCTTCTTCCTCCCAGCAGCATCAGTTCTTCCCAAAACCTAATTTTTTTTTCTTCAAAATTCCCTCTCCTCTAAAAACCTAACTAATCCCCAACCTCCACCCTGCCGCCGTCGCCAACCACGTCAAGAAAAAATTAATGTTGTTGATTCAATATATTAATTAATTAATTCAATATAGATTAGTCTTTATGATTTCCCTCTCTAATATATTTAATTAATTGATTCAATATATTAATGTTGTTGTGTGGATTTATAATTGATGGATTTAATTAATTTATGTGTAGAAAAAATTATCATGGAATGATTTTTTAAGAGAAAAGTGCCTATGGATAATCCGGGCAGTTCTAGTGCAAGTGCCTATGGTAGTTCTAGTTCTAGTGAGCAATTGTAACTTGTATTTTTTAGTGTTATTTTCTTCTTGATAAAATTTCGAGACTTTAGACTATGACCCCATGGCGACACAATCTTGCGTCCGCCACTGCCCTCAGGTGAGATAGAAATCAAGGAAGCTTCCAATTGCTCCCATCATTCCCTCAGGGTAGTGGAATTGAGAGATTATCGTGGTCGCACAAGTGATTTTAAGCTTTGTCATCTACTTGGTGGAGAACGTTCTTGAACTGGAAAAAATTGTGATCGCTCCTCTCAAATATCCTCACCTAGTGATGAAGAGGGAACAAAGAGAAGTAAATCATGCTAGGCAGCAGCTCCAAGAAAAACTGCCTAAACGTATACAATTTGTTTGCTCCCCTATGTGCAAGATGATGACGTAGATGCTGCACACTAGTATATATTTGAGTTTCTGTTCTTTTATTTGGCAATTTCTTTAGGGGCACACTTTTTCCTTTTGATTGAAGTGCATTGTGCTTAATTTGATTGCTGTATTTGGGATTTGGGTTTTTGCTTCCTTCCTTGTGCTCCTTGCTGGTTGTTTTGACAGCCTATAGTTTGATAATTTTTGTGCTAAGTTTTGAAAGACTCATTGTGATAAACCAGGATTCGATATTTTTGAAGTGAAGAAACATATGATTTTGAAAAGCTCTGCAGTCGGATCTTGCAGTTGAATAAAAATGTCAAACTTTTCCACGAAGCTGAGGGAACCAAAAACAGATATGTTGCATCCATAAGAGGAATAGTTTTCCACGAAGCTGAGGAAGCAAACTTTTGATATTCTGATGTACAAGAGGAATAGTTTTATAGATATGGCATGCGTTAAACAATTAGAATTCAGGTTATTGTGTTCAAATTCGAGATATTAAAATAAGGCTTATTTACAACAATGTTACATGAAACTAGGGTGAAATCTCATTTTGCCCCCATAAACTTGAATTTAAAGAGAATTTCAGATCAAATTGGGGTCAAGGACATGGGAAGATCACGGGAGAGAGGAGCCCAGGCTGGGCTGGGAGGGATGGTGTGGCCGAAATTCCAAAAGGAGACGTTTAAGTGTAACTCTAGCTGCAGAAAAGGAAGGAGGTTTAGAGTTGAACATAAATTGATTTGGTTGATACCATATGATATGAAATAATGTATCCGAATATGTTTTTTGTCTTTTTGTCATATAGCCTTGTATCCTTTTTTTTATATATTTTCTTTTTCAGTTTTTTCTTTTTGGTGTTTTGTTTACAGCCGTAGATTTCAAACTAATCTAACGGCTTGTATTATAGCAACTCAAGAAAGAAATGAAGTGACGTCGATGCTCCATCTGGCATGTGTCCACTGGTCCACCGGGCTGCTACAGTTACTGGGTGCTGAATTAGCCGTTAAAGCAGCTTGTTTAGGCGGGGAGAGTTGGTTAGTGTAGTTCATAAGCTGGTTCTTTACGTTAGAGAGAGATAGCTATTTACTGTAGCAGCCGGTTTGTTCTGTTTCTTCTTCTGCTATAAGCGAGTTTTAGTTAGAGAGAGAGAGCTAGAGATCGTATGGCCTCCTCACTCGGTAGTCGGTCGGTGCGGCCGTGTTCAATGGATCAAGGCCAGGTACGTATGTGCATTTTCGTTTAAGTAGGTCTGTAATTGTTGTTATGTCACATATGTTTTTTGTCTTTTTGTCATATAGCCTTGTATCCTTTTTTTTATATATTTTCTTTTTCAGTTTTTTATTTTTGGTGTTTTGTTTACAGCCGTAGATTTCAAACTAATCTAACGGCTTGTATTGTAGCAACTCAAGAAAGAAATGAAGTGACGTCGATGCTCCATCTGGCATGTGTCCACTGGTCCACCGGGCTGCTACAGTTACTGGGTGCTGAATTAGCCGTTAAAGCAGCTTGTTTAGGCGGGGAGAGTTGGTTAGTGTAGTTCATAAGCTGGTTCTTTACGTTAGAGAGAGATAGCTATTTACTGTAGCAGCCGGTTTGTTCTGTTTCTTCTTCTGCTATAAGCGAGTTTTAGTTAGAGAGAGATCAAGGAAGCTCCAAAATATTCCCATGGTTCCCTCAAGGTAGTGGAAGTGAACAACTATCGTGGTCGCCCCGGTGATTTGAAACTTGTGATGTACTTAATAGACAACGCTGTTGGACTGGAAAAAATTGTCAATCATCCTCTCGAACCAATTCGTGGCGAAGAATTGGGAGAGGCTTTTTTTATGTGTCGTGCTAGGGATGAGATGGCAAGAAAAGTGCCTAAACACATAGAATTGGTAAGCCCCCCCAATGCATTAAGTCCTTGTGCCTGCCTTTCCCCTGTATTTGTTATATTTGGGATTTTTGTTTTTGTTTCTTTGCTTAGACTCTGTTTCTGTTCCTTACTGGTTGCTTCTGGCCTTCTCAGGATGGCCGTAATAACTTTCGGTTTGATCGTCCGGTATATGTGTAACTGATTTCCCTTGGTTGTTCGGTTGCTGCGTCCGCCAATTGAAATTTTACAGAGGGAGGGAGGGTGGCTTACTTGAATAAAGTGTAGTGCAGGCAGACTGCTTAAATTGAAAGTTTCCTTTATGCTTTTTCGGTCAATTTGTTTCCTTATGTTGCTTGCTGTTGTTTGGCAAGTTTCCTGACTGAAGTGAGAGATGGGCTTATTGCTGAATATGAGATTATGGGAACTTGCTTTGTCTCCAAGGCTGATTACAAAGTTGGCTTGCACTTTAACATTCTTTATTAGGTCTAGAGCTGTTCCAAAGGTGAAAATGGATCTGATTTAAATGAGGCAGTGGACAGAAGGAAAAATACATATACAATTTGTATGCCCCCCTATGTATCTACTTAGCAAGTGCATGGTGCTTAATTTGAGTATTTTGCTTCATTGCTTAGACTCTGTTTCTGTTCTTTTTGTTTGGCAATTTCTTTGCTGGTTGTTTTTGACAGCCAAGTTATTGAGGAAATTGGGTTCCGTGTGCCAAAAACATGGCCATATAATTGAGACTTTGCTTTTCACATGCCCTAAATGATAACTCTTCTCTTGGTTTTCTTTTCGATGTTTCTAAATAAATTAATGGAGCTCTCTCTGGTATGGTAATTGGTAATTACTGCTCCACGTGCTGTGACGGGTCAACAAGCTCAATGATGATGATGATGACTAATCTTGATTTAAAGAGATCATTGTAATGTAAATATTATTATACTAATCATGATGATCAACTCAAAACTTCAATTAGCAGTGATCTTTAGAGTTTGAATTGCTTTTCTGTTTTTATTTAGATTTGTGTGAAGTATGACTTTTTATTTTTTATTTTTTATTTTTTATAGCTACAAAATTCTAAACTGGTATAATGTAGATGGAGAGGAATCGAACTCATGTGCAAGGGAAAGATGAAAAAACTGCAGCAGTCAGAACTTATAATTATTATGTAAACTCCATTCATTAAAATCCAACTGGCTATATGCTCTTCCAATACATGTAAATCCACAAGTTGTGTGTCTGTAAATAGATAAGAAAAAGAATACAAACAGTGCTGCAGCAGATGCCCACTTTTTACCTAATCCTTAATCAAAAAGCACACAGTACATACTGAGTCTAAAAAGAAGGTCATATGATATTTTCAAAGATGTGTATGGTTTGGTAATGACTGTCCCTGCAGGGAACTTGAGAAAAGAGTTGAACCTTTTTGAGCTACTGTAAGGGTCTTCATTAAAAATACTAAATCTGCAAAACCCAACATAACCAATGTTAGATATTAAAGATTTTGCAGATAACAATTTTGTAGATGTCCCAAAAGAGTTATCTCTTGCCAAGTTGGCTTGAAAATGGATTCTCTACGGATTTATGCAACATGTCCTAGAAGTTGGCCCCAATCTATATGAGCAAGCAAGCATGGCAGGTTCCAAGTGGGTCTCTGACTCCTGCAGTCAGCTAAGAAGAGAGGGTAGCTGCCTTTCTGGCCCATTTCTTTCAAAAAAAATTATAAAATTTTAAAGTTTTTTATGGTCTAGAATGTAGACAACAAAAAGAGAATAAAAAAGCATGATGAGGGCACAGAATTTTGTGACTTGAAAACATTGGGTCATGTGGTTTGTAAGGAGAACGGGACATCATCCTACTTCTCTGAAGAAAAGAAAGAATCCAATCAATCCCTGCAACGTGTTTTTCAACTTTTGGGGTTTGTACTTTATTATTCTATGTATGATTATAAAACACAGTGTTTTTTTTTATCATGCAATTTGACTGTAGCTTTGATCACTAAATTGGCTAGCTTGTTGTCCTGATCGAAGGCTAATAAACTTTCAGCGCTGTCATCATTCTCTTGTCTGGGTCCACTTGGATCACAGAACATATCACATGCATATAATCTTTGTATAATGCAGTATGGCAGCATTACCTCGATCATATGTATAATCTTTGATTGGACAATCTGGGCCATTTGATCTGCAGAATGTTTTTAATTGGTTGAATTCTCATGTGTACAACACATGTGTGTAGATTGTACACAAAAATTTATCGTTCTTCAATCATCAATCCACGTAGATGCCTTGGGGAAGATTTGCAATCTCTTAATACAGTTCTACACTGTTCTGTTCATATATATATATATATATATATATATATATATATATATATATATATATATATATATATATATATATATATATATATATATATATATATATATATATATATATATATATATATATATATATATATATATATATATATATATATATATATATATATATATATATATATATATATATATATATATAAAGTTAGCTGGGCTTGAAATTTTTCAAGGAAAGGTAGCTAAGAAAGAAGAGGCGAAACAAAACCAACATATCCTCACCACTCTCTAGGCCATAAATACACCTCTGAAAGCCTAGTATAAAACTTTGAGCTTCCTCTCTTGGTAGTGGTTCTAGTGAGCTCAATTGCCTTCGTTTGCAATGATTCCATTGAGCAGACGAAGTACAAGGAAAGAAGTAAACAGAGGCTCTTGGACAGCAGAGGAAGACCAGAAACTGGCTCAAGTTATTGAAATCCACGGTCCAAAGAGGTGGAAGTTTGTTGCAACCAAAGCAGGTTCATTTTCAACACACATACATATAAACATGTCGAAAGTCTGTTTCTTTTTGTGGAGATATTAATATGGCTGGCTTCACCTCTGGTTTTTGCAGGTCTTAACCGATGTGGGAAGAGTTGCAGGTTAAGATGGATGAACTATCTGAGACCCAATATTAAGAGAGGCAATATATCAGACCAAGAAGAAGACTTGATACTTAGGCTTCATAGGCTCCTAGGAAACAGGTGAGCTTGCCCAAGTTCTAGTGTTTTTATTTTTTATTTTTTTTATTTTTATAATCAATGATTTCTCTATAATTTCGATTCTTTGATCTTTTCATGTTGATAAAACGTTTGGGTTGACAATTTTATGAATTGGGTACCTGTTTGTTGAATTAAGGTGGTCATTGATTGCTGGAAGACTACCAGGTAGAACAGACAATGAGATTAAGAATTATTGGAACTCCCATTTGAGCAAAAAGATAAAGCAGAGAGAAAGACAAAACAGAGCAGTCTCAAAAGCAGAACAAGAGTCCTCTGACACTAAGAATATCCAGGTAATGGAGGTGAATGCTCTGACAATTGGAAGAGAAGATGCCTCCAAATGCGAGGAGAGCTTCAAGTCTGGCTTTAATGGAGACGAGTTTTTTGACTGCTCAAGTGATGAAGGGCCTTTGAACTTGGAGTGGATGAATAAATTCCTTGAAATGGATGAGAGTTGGTTTACTTTGCATGACATTTAAGCTTTGTTCCTTTCTTTTTTTCCCCTTCTCTTTTTCTGGTTATTGCATTTGTGAGGCCTTTTGCTAATTCTAGGAAAATCCCACTTCATGTTTGTTCCTTCTGTATCTATTTTCCACTATGTGAGGTTCTTTTTCCTTGAATTAACAAAGCATATGTTGGTGTGACAATCTTTATATGTTATTTCAGAATGTTCACATTTGTGGAATTGCTACAAGAACTGTTTTAGCCCAATTCAGAAATCTTGCAGAGAAGGAAGTGGCAGATTTCTTGAGTTTAATCAGATTGATAGACCAGAACCAATTATAGGTTTTGGAAAAAGTGACATAACTTTCACTGTTTCAGACCCTGAAACGTGATAAAGAGATAAAAGGCTGCCCAAAATGTCGGCTATTTAATTAATTCAATACCCTTTTGTCTTCTTGTGGTTTGGTGAAACAACAGAATTCCAAACTGAGATTGAAAACTAGTCTTATTATAAGTAAATGGATGTGACAAATTCACATTTACATGAAGATCCACCCTTTTTATTTTATGCAAATACATATTCAAATCCACCAGCTTCAGCTTCAGCATCTTAAATTCTGTGAAGTATAATTGGTGCTCCATGCTGTGGGTGAAGGGTAATGCCCACAATGGGAGCATGAGTGTAAGAGGGTGAGAGCTCAAAAGCGAAATGTTGAAGAATCATAGCCAGAGCCATCTTTGCTTCTATCACAGCAAAAGTTTGGCCCAAACAAATTCTAGGGCCCCAACCAAATGGATAGAAGGCAAATTGATCCTTTGATGCCTTGGAAACTCCTTCAGCAAATCTCTCTGGGTTGAATTCCTCAACCTGCTCACCCCAATATTTTGGATCATATTGGAGAAACAGAATCAGCAACACAAATTCAACCCCAGCTGGGATGGAAAGGCCTCCTATATTGGTTTTCTTTTGGGTGTGCCTATATAGAGCAGTCACAGGTGGATATAACCTCAGAACTTCATTCAATATCATAGATACCTGCAAAAGAAAAATTCAGGCAACAAATCGCTAGAAAACATTTTGGTTTGGATTGATGTTCGTAACACTATTTATCATCACTAAATGTAGTACATGTAACATTAATCGTGCGAGAAACGACTTACAATCTTGAGGCGATTTACGGCTCCCAAATCAGGTGTTTCCTTTCCACACACACGTAGGACTTCTTCTCTTGCTTTCTCTTGCCAGCTTGGATGCATAGACAAGACAATCATAGTCCAAGTGAGCCAGTTGGCTGTGGTCTCTTGGCCAGCAAAGTAGAAGAGCTTGCACTCTTCTATCACATCCTCAATTGTCATACTGTTCTGCTCTTGTTCTCTGCACTGCAAGAGTAAACCCAGCAAATCATTGGAACCCACTTCACCGTTTTCCATGGCTTGCTCTTTCCTGCTGATCATACCCCTTAATATTGCTTTTATTTCATTGTCCAAGTTGTACCTCATCTTGTTCTTTTTAGTGGGTATGAATCTGTACAGATAGAAAACTAGCATCAAATCAAAACAACTTAAAATAAACTACTATTAAAATTCAGCTGGTACTTTAAATTAATGCCAATGAACACACCTTAAACCTGGGAAATAGAAACCATAATAGGCTTCAAGCACTAAAACAGCTTGCTTCTTTTGAAGTTCAAATATCTTCTTCCCCTCTTCAAAGCTGCTTCCAAATGCTGTTCTAGCTATAACATCACCAGCAAGATTTTGAAACTCTGGTGCCACATCTACTTCGTATGATCCTTGAACACCAATTAAATTTTCCCATCGATGGATCAGACCAGAACAACTGGTCAAAAATGCAGGCACCATCCCCTGGTTTTTTTTTTCAATAATGTCACATATGATATGATGTGACTTGTGAGATTTTTAATTAAATATTGATATGATAGGTACCTTTAATTTCTCAAGATGGAAAGCAGGAGTTATGAGGCTTCTGCGTTTGGCCCATTGGTCTCCTTCCAAGGTAGAGACACCCAATTGCAGAAGATTGACAAGTGGGTTCAGTGGTGGCTTTATAATGTGCCCACTCTTGTCAGCTAATATCAACTTGATCAGCTCTGGCTCTGCAACTATCAGCCTTGGCCTCGTTTCAACCCATCCCAAACTCACTTTCCCTAAACAAATTAAAATGTCAACACCATTACATCATCAATCACAATCATACTTGAAAAATCTCAAATTGTATGGGAAAATATATATATATATTTATAGTTATTGCTTGCCGTAATTTTGGACCATTTGATCAAAAAATGGGAAGACACGTGGAGCAATCTGGTGCTTGAGAGACATGGGTTTAGACCATGCTTCCTCGCTGGACATTTTGATCTCTTTCATGTCATCTTGGAAAAGCTTGTAACTTCTGCCTCTGATCCCTTGCTGCCTCAACTGCTTCTCTAAGCTTTTGGGTCTCAGCCAATAGACTTGAACAACTCTCCCAACAGAATACAGAATTAGAGAAACCAAGGAGAATATCAAAGTTTTGATCAAAATATAATCTTCCATTTTTGCTTTCTTGTGTTAATTTGCTGCTATGAAACTAAAGCTAGCTTAAGGAACTGAGAGACCAAGTACTGACGAATTTATAGGTCCTCCATGGGGGATGTGTGGCTGATATTTTTGACAAAAAAAAGTAAGCAAACCCCACGTAGTTTTTAGTTTTGACTTTTCATTGTTGCTGCCCCCACCATGAATGGAATCGTAGACAAAATCTGGTGTCATTTTTATTTTTTCTTGAGGACCAAGTTTTAACAAGCAACAAAAGTTCTTTCATTTTCAGTCTTGACTGACCCCACGGGCAGCAACTTAATGCCGAATTCGAAGATAAGTATTTGAGACAAAAGGGAGGACAATTATTAATAAAGTATGCTCCTCTGCGTGCCTTGGTCCCCGTGAATACTGTATAACTAAAAACACATTGCAATTTATGAAGATGTGACCTCAAATAAAAAGAAACGTTGAAGAACCTACTTGGTCCATGACCTTAGATTGGGTTTTCATGTTCTCGCCTCCCCGTCTTTAGTGAGCCTTTAGGCTCTAATGTGGCTAAAGCTCGGGCCGGCCCACCGTGGTCTTTGCTGTTTCAGGCTTCGGCCCACCATTAATTTAGGTCATTGGGTCCTTGTTTGGTGAACAAATCAATTTAGGTCGACATTTTAGGAAAAGGGAGGAATCGAACTTAGGATTTCGAATGAGATAAATATTCTTAATCACTTGACCTACAAGCCCCTTGTAACATATGTTGAGCAAGGTCACTATGTTAACCAACTGGCATAACCCATATAGTGTAATTTATAGAAAAGGAGATTCAAACTTTATTACAAGGATTTGAAGCATGTTCACTGTCCTAACCGATTAGCCTAATTCGTGTCTGAAATTGTAATCCAATCTTCCCTAAATCGGACGTAGGTGATTGGTTTGGTTTGTGAACTTTCTGTCAAGGAGAATTAGACAATCATTTTGGGAAGTTGGAAGGGAGTGAGGGAGAAAGAGAGCTGTTGTAACTTGTATGGTGGCGTCTATAGATAGCCGTATGCCAATAATGCTACAATTGTCAACTGAGCCTCTGCCAATTTTAAACTCTGGCCGTTGGATGATATTCGAGATCCGTACCGGACAGAGAATTAATGGTGGAGACAACTCGACAATAGGACAACGCGTACTCTACTCTTCACGTGAACCGCAATACATCGTATGCTTCCAAAAGGATGTCTCTCACTCTTTCATGTCATCGTCGGACATATTATTTCAGATTGGAACACGTGTCCAACTGGGCCCCGCATGAGATTTCCTGCAGTACATGCTACAGTACTCTCCGCTCCTCTCCAGTCTCTTCCCCTCATTTAATACCACAACGACAGCAAGCATCGCCATCAAGGAATGGTGAAACATTCAAAATATCAAAAAATATCATTGATTAATTCAAATATTAAGAATTAAAATTATTAATTAAATGAGAATAATATGATAAATTCACATTTTTTCATATTAAAAAAATTAAAATTAAAAGAAAAGTAAGATAATGAATTCTATTTTTATAGAACACAATTACCCATTATTATTTTTTTAATTCTAAAATAAATTTAATTTTTTTATAAATAAAAAGCCTCTCGCAAGCGCGGAAGCGCATGTGGAGAGGCTAATACAAGGAAACCAAAATTAAAGCCTTTTTGCTAATATTTCTACAAAATTAAACTATACTTGATTTTCAATATTTTGAATTTGAAAATTTATTTTATTTATTAGAAAAAAAGAGAGTTAAGAATACATTTTCTTGTCAAATAATTTCTTTATATATTTTAATAAAGTACTTTGGACATAATTTTATTTGAAATTAAAATATTTAATTCAAAATTAATTGGAATTTAGTAGAGGTTTAATATATATTTTTTAAAGAGTAAAATGTGTTCACATATGTGCACTAACCTGCAAATTATATGATCAATTTACCACATGATTTTTATCGCTTTTTTTTTTTTACAATGTAAGTTATGATATTAGAGGATAAAGATATTTTTCTAATAATAAAAACAGAAGATAAAGAAATTTGAATTAGTTTTCATGGTAGTCAATTTAAAAGAGAAGGATAGTTAATTAGCTGATTTTTTTTTGTGTCTTTTTTACCTGTCTTATTAATCTTTTCCTATTTATTTAATTATTGTGAACTAAGTAAAATAGTAATGTTTTTATATTTTTTAATGAGAAATATTGTTAATTTCTAAAACAATATTTCATGAATAATTTTCTATAAATAAAAATATATATAAAAATTTAAATTTAAATTTTAAAAAAAAAAAATTTAAAAAAAACTCACAAAGAACAGTAACCTGATTAGACGAGCTGCAATCTTATCCTTCCCTACATTTACTCTCTGCAGGTTCAGTCTGTTATGTGTTTGAGCCTTTGAAAAGATCTTTCTGTTAGGATTTCTTTCCCAAGAGCAACAAACAAGGGATGAAGAAGAAAGCCCTAAACTTTACTCCTCAACTTCAAAAGTTCATCTAGCATTGCACCCCCCACAACACTTTCAAATTAGAAACAACAACTTTTCTATTTTCTTGGAAATCTTGGAAGAAGAAGATATGCAGTCTAATTTTGACATATCAGAGATTGGTAACCAGCAACACTTGATGGATATTAGTAATTCTTGCTCACCAGTTTTGCCCATTTTCAATCATCAGAAGCAAAACCACCACCACCACCATTTCAATCAACAACTTGAGCAGCCTGAGCCATATCATATCAGTCAACTTGTTCATCCCACTCCCGTTACCCACGACTTGTTTCAACGCCAGCATCTTCAAGCATTCCAGCAGCAAGGAAGGTTGCACTGGCAGCTGGGTCCTGTAAATTTCAAGCTTGGTCTCAATGAGAACAGTGGAAATGGAGAAAGTGCTCTGCTTGGCGCTGGTTTGTTTGATGATGAAAATGGAGACGACCCCCTCTTGCTTCAGAGTCGAACGCATAACTTAGGATTCAAAAGTTGGCAAACCCATGAACCCATGTGGTAAAATTCTATTCATAACATTCTTAATGCACAGATTTACGTGCTTTTGTTGTACTTGTTCTTTGTTTTCTCTGTTTTTCATGTTGCTCCTTTTTTACATAGCACGTGTTTGTGTTAATGCCGCAGCTGGAAGCCTCTCGACGCACCAATCCCCGAGACCAACAGAAAGCAGAATGAAGCCAATGAAGGAGATATAAGCAAGGACTTGGAGAACAAATACAGGCTCTATGGTGAGCTTGAAGCAATCTATAGCCTTGCAAAGATGGGCGAGGCTAATCAAACGGGCTCTGGCTCTGCACTCACTGGTGAAAACTCCCCTAAAAATGTAGACTTGCCTGTGCTTTTTTGTGACCCTCATGACCTCAATGTTGCTCCAACTGCTCAAGTTAGGGTGGATAATGGGTCGGAAGCCTCCATCGGAGAAGAGGCTTCGCCGAGGAAGATTCAGAAGAGGAAGAGAAAGAGGACAATGAAGAAACAATTAAGTTCAGTGATTAGCTTCTTTGAGAGCTTGGTGAAGCAGGTTATGGATCACCAAGAGAATCTTCATAAGAAGTATTTGGAAGTGATTGAAAGAATGGATAAAGAGAGGAGGGAGAGAGAAGCTGCATGGAGAAGTCAAGAGGCTGAAAACCATAAGAGAGAAGCCATTGCCAAAGTCCATGAACAGGCTCTGGCTTCTAGCAGAGAGGCACTCATTGTTTCATACATTGAGAAAATCACTGGCCAAAGAGTTAATCTTCCTTCTAGGCAAGCCCCATTGTTGTTGCAGCCTGATAATTTAAATGAACCACCAGTGGAGGAATTGACACCCTTCAAAATTGATCACACAAATAGCAGATGGCCTCAAAGTGAAGTTGAGGCATTGATTCTAGTGCGAAGTAGCATAGAATCAAAGTTTCAGGAACCAGGGGTGAAGGGGCCTGTTTGGGAAGAGGTCAGTGCTTTAATGGGTTCAATGGGTTATCAAAGGAGTGCCAAAAGGTGCAAACAAAAGTGGGAAAACATCAACAAGTACTTTAGAAAAACCAAAGACAGTGCCAAAAAGCGTCCTCATAATTTCAAAACTTGCTCTTATTTTAATCAGTTGGATCAGCTGTACTCAGGAACACCCATCACCGCCCCTTCATCTTCGTCTTCCTATTATTCTAGTAACCCTTCAGCTAGCATGGATGATAACATTCCAAAGCAAGGTTTTTCAGATCTTTTGGAAGCCTTCGTTGCAGGGAGAGAGGCAGGAGTTGCACATAATCTGTCTAGTGGCAATTTTCAAATATCTGAAATGGGGTCCAATAGGTTGGATTTTGATGGAATTATTGGTAGTAAGGTAGAAGATGTGCAAGGAGACCTTGGGAAGGAGAAGGAAAACCGTGAGGATGACGAGAACGTGGATGAAACAGAAGATACTGACGATGATGATTCTGATGAATGAGGTAGAGCATGACCATCAGACAGAACTAGAAAGGTACGTTAGATTATCACAGCCTGCAGTTCTTTTATGAACCTAGGAACTGAAGTGTTTTCAGATTCATTGACGTTCATTATTATGCTATTTGCTTGAGTTTCAAGCCTTCTTAAGCAGTTTATAACTTTTTACTGCTGCTGATGGAGTTTGAAGTTAAATTAAATGCTTCTTTTTAGGATATAACATATTGATAAATTTTGGAGGATGTTTTGCCATATGAAACTGTTGGCTAAGTCTACTAACTCATCAAATTAGTAACTCATATTCATATGTATGTTGCTCAACCCAGCTTCCACCCACTCACATGTAACAACTGCAACCGGATTCCAGCTCCGGACATCATTGTATCACAAAATGACCTGTCATTTTCACTTCGGTTAGGTCATAGGTGCACGTGCAATAGAAATTCCGAGCAACCTCAATGACCTCTTGTTTTACCAAAATCGGTAATGGTAAATGCTCAAGACACGTTTTCCATTTGAGGTAAAATCTAAAAGACATATCCTTTAAGATATCTCCCAGAAAAGGTTGTGTAGTTGGATTGGATTCTAACAAAACCAAGAGAGCTTAGCAAATACTTGGAAAACATTGGATGGAGGATGTATGATTAGAAAATCTACTTGGCCATTTGAATTGGTATTGACATGCACAGTAATAGAAGAATCAAGGACCCAATGCTGCTTCGGGAAGACAATTGTCATCTGCTGCCCAATCATTTAACCACTCCTGCAAGTACAAAGGAGCTTCAGCAGTTGAGGTTGACATTAATGAACCGTTTCTGCACCCACTTGTGCAATCAAAAATCGTGGTATTCAATTCACAAAGTTTGGAGAAGTCAGTATGTAGAAATTCAGATATGCCAAGTTCGCCTGCATTAAGATCCCTTATGAAGTTCCTCGTCATATCATTCTCTCGTGTGATTGGTAAGAATCCATAGCTGGAATCTGATTTTGCTTCCATATTCGTTGCTTCAACTCCAGAGATAAGCGGTTCTGCTAATGTATTGGTAGTGCCAAGCTGTTTATTATTGATCCAGCTTGTTGGTGTGAGTCCATTTTGGATCAAGTGTGAGTCCATTTTTAACGATGGGACAGCCTTTTCGGTGTCCACGGTCGTTTTCCACTCATTTCTAGACCTTTCTGAGTGGCTTTCTTGTGCCCTTTTCCTTAACACAGAGTTCCAGTAGTTCTTGATCTCATTGTCTGTTCGGCCTGGAAGCCTTCCAGCTATCAATGTCCATCTACAGGTATCCAAAAAAGGAAAGAAAAAAAAATCATACCTATTAGTACTAGTTATTAAACGAAGCAGCATAGGAAGAGAAAAACCTTAACAGTTGCAATGCTAGTAGCAAGCAACAGATAGTAATTGAAGTGACAGAGGCCAGTACCTGTTGCCTAAGAGTTTGTGGAGCCTGATGATGAGGTCTTCTTCGTCTTCTGTAATGTTCCCTCTCTTGATCTCAGGCCTCAGGTAATTCAACCAGCGAAGTCTACAACTCTTCCCGCATCTTTTGAGACCTGCATCCAATAATATATTTCTCATTGAACAATGTTATGTCATTTCATAATCATTGATGCATTGAAATTAAGAAACTTGTGCGTAAAGTCAAAGCCGGCTCGCCTGTTTCCCTTGACAGTTTCCCCCATCTCCCTTCACCGTGGTCTTTGACGTAATCTATGAGAATCTGGTCTTCAAGAGCAGTCCAAGCTCCTTTACTCAGTCCATCCTTCTCACAACGGTAGATTCTTCCCATTTCTCACTAACTTGCTCGGTTCTGTCTCTCCCTCTCTCTTTCTTTCGGAATTGCACGTTATTGCGCCAGTGTCTTTGGAAGTGACTGATTTTATATAGATGGTTTTGTAGTTCAATCTAATCTTATTATATGAAGACTTTGAAATCTGTGAATAATTTGTATTAACTGTTTAACAACGTGGCTAGAATCAACATAAAGAATTGAACTTACTGCCAAATGGTATCACGTTTTAAGATTTCATGTCTAATGAGTTCATGATTAGCAGTGATACATGTACAGCCTTCTAAATCTGTACATGTATTGATTACAGATATTATTAGGATTATTCTTTATAGGATTTTGATCTTCACTTTTACGTTGTCTTCGATTAATGCAGAAAAACTCATGTAATAGATGAGAAAAACATATTCAAGAACAACTTGGCATATTTCTCTAGATTGTTATTAGATGCATATATAAAATCCTGAATTAACATGACAAGTATTATTTGGTTTTATACAAAAACAATTGATGTGGATTGGTTTTATACATTCTCCTCTGCAAAAAACAACTATTAGTGGTTGTAGTTTTTGCATCATCAGTTGGAATTGGATATATTATTTAGATTCTGACAAGTATATATGCATTATGCTTAATTATTCGCTAATTAAGTAGTATTAATTAGCTTAATGAGTTGTCTATGCAAGTTTTTAAGCTACAAAACAAAACAGGGGCGGCTTGATTTTGATTCTTTGGCCCTCCAATGGGAATATCGCAGATGAAACGTAATTGGAAGGCAAGGCATGCATGCACACAGAGAATCAGCATATTCAATCGAGCTGTTGCATTAACAATTATAAGCTCTGAATCTGAAAATGAGTGACCTTCTTGCAACTTGTACGTGGAGGTGGAGGCATCAGAATTGAAATTATTATTGTTTTTTTGAATGTTTGGCTGTACTCAATCTAGAAATGCCAACAGAAAAGAAGGAAAAATAACAAAGTTGGTAGGGTTTGTGGCTGAGATAAAAGGGTTTTTTTTTTTTCCCACTTGCAAAACGACCACAAATTTCCAAAGACGTAGTTGTTATATAGTTCTTGCTGTGAGGGACCCGAATTTAGTGGGTTTAGTAGATAGATCCAAGTCTAACACAGTTGTTATCGTCTGATGTTTTGTTGTATTTGTTCGGAAAGTCGAGGTTTTATTACTTATTTATTAGATTAATAGTATCTCATTTGTCTTTGTAATAAGGTTGTACCACAAAACAAATTCTTCTTATGAATTACACAAAATAATAAGAGTGCTGCTAAACGAACCCTAAAATTAACTGAGTACACCCTATAATCTAAGTACACCCTAATATTTAAATCAAAATATAAAATTAACCAAGCACACCCTATTTAATCACCAAAAATCCCCCTATACACTCTATCACACAACACCAAACCTAATGCCTCCTCTGCAGCGGGAGATGATTTTATTGAAGATATTACAACCATTGTAAGTTGTTTTGGATTTGTTTTCCGATCTCTAGTTATTACTGGATGCATTTAAAATTAACCTACTACCCTTTGAAATTTCTACATAGCCATTCAATGCTCATACTGGTCGGCTAAATCTGTTCCGTAAGTCTCTATTTTTAATTACTCTTCCTTCTTCCTTTTGGTAGTTCCAGAACCAAATAATAAATAGAAAAAAAGAAATAAGAAACCAAGAGAATGTTCTAAGTTTGAAGGGCTCATCTTTCATCCAATAAATTATTTATTTATTTTTCCTCCTCGTATGAATCATCCACAACCCCTTAAAGAACCTGTCGGAGTGGACTCCATGGAGCATGTATCCGCTAGAGTGTTATCTACCACCAATGACCAAGATCTGTATCAAACAAACAACTTCATAGCATTTGCTTGCGTTTGATTAGGGTTGAATATAGTGCGTCGCGTTCATGTCTCCTCAGTTTACAGCCAGTTTCTTTTTCTTTTTCTTTTTTTCGTTTTGATCATCTCCTTCTTTCTCCTTGCTTGACTTATGCGGCCCTCTTGGGATTAAATGGAAAACCGTTCATGGTTGTATTAATCTTCAAACCAAACCAAGTTAAAATAGTTTTTGGCTTTTCTTTAGTGTTTCATGCGTTTTTTGGCTTCAGAAGATGGCTTTTTTGTCGTCAACTCCTTGCCCTCACAATTTTTTTTTCTTTTGATCAAGAAAGTAATTTTCCTTCCCCTCATAATCAGATTGCAATGGATCTGTCTTTATTTTTACTTACAAAGAAATTACCTATTCAAGAATTTTGGAGTTTTTTCATTTCATTTGGATTTGAATATTCGTTCAATCATGGCAATTTTTCATCCAGAGAAAAGAAGATTACCCGGAAGAGAAAAAAACACGCTCTAAACTTAACGTATGTTTAGAGAAGAAGAAAAAAAACTTGATGATGTGTCATGTTTTAAGGGGTTAGATTATCGCAACACTATAGATTTAGCGAAATACGGGTAAATTACACAGTCTCTAAATACAAAGGCTCGGAATCCACAAAATTATATCTTAAATAGTTAATATATATATATATATTCATGCAGATGAGGTACTGTTAATTCCCAAAAAGCACTTGTACTAAAAGAAATATATATCATCATTCATTAATAGCCCAGAACGTCTCACACGCGACTGATGCCAGTGCTACACTTTTCTCTCTTCGAATGCACGTTTTTGGTCTGAGCTGTTGTAAAGTAAGGTCCCATAGAATAGGACCACGTGACAGAATTTTCTTTGAAAACAAGAACAATCTGGTGATGATTTTGATTATCTTATGAAATTGACTGAAAATAGTGACGTTGTTGATTGGGTTTGGACAAAATACATGGCACTGCGTTTGGCAAAACAAGATGAAGCTTTCAATTTTAAATGTATTGGAAAGAAATGTGAATCACATTACTTGATCTCACAAATGTCATTGCATCCTTCGAGGTCAAATGTCAAACTGTTGCTGCGCGATGTCTTTAGTCCTTTTTCTTCGGTGTGCAGTTGTGTCAAAGCTCTTCGAAGCTGTCGTTAATCGACACAAGGAAGCCACCCTGTGGGCCTGCTATAGTCCGTGATGATTTCAAACATTTAAAAAAGAACACATAAAATCACTAGAGTAGGCCCATGTTAAGAAAGTCAGCTTTTGGTGGGCCGTCAGTCTGAAATCTTAAACTTAGAGCATCTTCAATAGTATCAGAAAACTAAACTTTTTAAGTTGAAGTTTGTTAACCTACGTGACAATTTAAAAAGCTTTGTTTGCTTTGCTACCTTAATATTTTTGTGCCCAATAGACTCTTCAATTCAATTAATGCAATGTTATGAAAAAAAATGAAAAATATAAAAACATGTGAAAAATATCTATGTATTTATTGTTTGAAAATTAAAAAAAAGCACGTTTTTATTATTTTTTAAGGTAAGTATTATTTTCTTATAGTAAAATTAAATGTTTTGAAGAGCCGAGGTCAAGTTACCAATCCTGAAGAGAGAGAAAAATGTTGTAGTTTTGATGACTGAGTTTGACAAGGTTGTTGGAGAGCATTTTAGGACTCTTTAAGCTTATTATTTATTTTTATTCATATATAATTTTTGTTGGCTATAGGCTCTTGTTTGTACCATATCTGACCATCCACTCGTACAACGACACGTGGATCTTATAAACTCGCCCAAGTACCCAAGGCCTCGGACAATCGGCATCGGCCACCGATGACATTGTCTCAAAGCTACGAACAGTCATTACGAGCCCAACTCGTCTACAATCGGCATCCCCTACCGATTGTAGAGAATCAACCTCGAAGTACCCGCCCAAAATATCTAAGGACTCGTGTCGGCCTCAGAAGGCCCTCCCGCGAGTCCCACATCGAAAATGAGCACTAAGAGCATACTAAATGCCCTCTATAAATAGGCCCCCTCCACTACAATACAGGGGTAAGACTTTTCAGCTTGACTTTTATACTTCTATATGGTCAACAGTAAGAGCTCTTAAAACAACAAACTTACTTCGGCATCGGAGGGTCTTAGGCTGGTTCCGCACCGGTTCCATAGACCTTACGAGTCTCGACTTCTTTCTATTCAGGATCGGCATCCAAGGACAGGAAGAATCGGCATCCAACATTCAATCGATTTCTCGATCATCCATCTCGCTTGTAAGTTGCACTCATCTCCATCTGTCCAGTTTTTAGTGCCAACAGCTCTTATTTCCCTTGTATTTTAATAGACCCAAAAGAAAATTAGAGTAAATTGAAGAGTGAATAATCTAACACATCAAAATTTACTTTTTATTCATGTAAAATGCCTAAATAAAAGACATAACATATGATATTTACACTCTCAATTTGTCATCGTGCACTCCCGAGTTCGAGCTCATCACTTCTTCCACAGAGAGTGCATGATGACATTCCAAAAGTGTGAATTGCAATACCGTAAAACAATACCAATAATCCAAAAGCATGGTGTTGGTGCTGCCATACTCAGATAGATGAGATTATTATTATTTTCCCCAAGAATTGCTGATGTACAAGATGCCAAGTGGGGACATACAGAGAGCGGTCAGTCTGATTGACTGCAACTATTTATGTCATAAAAAAATTCAAATAAGAAAACAAAGACTAGCTTTGGAGGGGGTTCTTAGTCAGCTATTAGTTTATTTGAAGTAATCTAATCCAGACAAACTGTTGAACCCAAAGTGCATGAGATTCCAGAGAATCGAGCTAGCTAGGTTATGCTTATGGTCAACATTATTAATTAATGGTGGAAACAGTCATCATCTCCCATCCAATCCTTGAGCATTTCCTCAGAGAACAACAGAGGTGCATGATGAGACGACGTCCATTTGTAGTTCTTTGAGCCCTCATTGTTGTCGTCCAACTGATGGCATATTTTCCAGAATTCTGAATCCGGGTTGTTAATTCCAGACATCAAAAGCTCCCCGACGTCGAAATCCAACATGAGGTCCTCCGAAGCTGTCGTGTCTTCTTGTTCAGAGCTGTAGTAGTTGGCAGCAGCCGCCTTCTTCTTCACCACCAAGTCCCCGTGATTTCCATCGGCGTGGTGCGGAAAGGTGGCTTCTTGTTGTGCATGTAGGGTGACAGGAACCTTGTTGAATCTTAATGCCTTTGTACGGACTGCAATGTTGGTCGACGGTTGAGTTTTATCTGTGGACGTTGGTAATTTGGTGCTCTTGTTTCTCTTCTTCTTCGTGTTGTCGTTAACTGCACCAGAGGACTGCTTTGTTTGTTGATCCGTACAGTTCACCTTCTTCCCTAAGGTTGTGTTCCAGTAGTTTTTTATCTCATTGTCCGTTCGCCCTGGGATTCTCCCTGCTATCAGTGACCATCTGCGAATTAATTAACACCCAACATATTAAGAAAAAAGAAAGAAGAAAAAAAGGGTGAGAAATTATAATGAGTAGAAAACCTGTTGCCTAATAGCTTGTGTAGCCTAATGATGAGATCCTCTTCCTCCTGAGTTATATTTCCCCTTTTGATATCGGGTCTAAGATAATTCAGCCACCTCAGTCTGCAGCTCTTTCCACATCTCTTGAGACCTGCACCAAATTCACATCTTGTTAATTTAATGAACATTATTTATTGACAAATTATTCCTGCACTGCACTCACCAGCTTCCTTTGGGATCTTTCTCCATTTTCCATCTCCATGGGCTCTGATGTAATCTGTGAGAGTTTGGTCCTCAAGAGCAGTCCAAGCTCCTCTGTTCAGTCCCACCTTAGAGCAACAAGGAGTTCTTCCCATTTTTCCAAACTTTGCCAAATTGGCAATCTTAATTATTCTTATCTTATATATGCCTGTCTTTTGCAAAAGATATATAGCTATACCTTTTCATATGGGATCTTGAGATAGCGATTGGGGGATGGAGTGATAGATCTTGGTACAAGCCAATCTTATATATAAGTGAATCTTTCATTAAATAACTTAAATTAACATATGTTTCAACTTGGAATTAAAAAAATTTCCACTTTATGTATAAAAATTATAACCGGTGGCAGTTATCTATATTGACTGCATTGGGCTTTGCTAGGACTAGGACTTAATCAATCTCACCCTTTTTATTTTGTTGTTGTTTGTAGTAATAATTATATTTTTGTTTTTGTGTCTAGAAATCTTACATTAAAGTGTCGGTGAAATCAGCCGGGTATTGCTTAATTTAATTGGTTGAACTTTTTCACTATTATTCATATGGGTAGAAGTTCAAAACCCCCAAATACCCAATAAATATTTATATAAATCCCCTCCACCAATCACTTAAAGGGTCTGCGAAACAAAGAAAAAAAATTTCTACAATGTGCTGTCAAAAGCACATGTTGAATAGCAGCGAAATATAAATGTAGTCGTCCAAATAATATAATATCTCATCTCATCTCATCACCCCTACGCCTGGATAATAGATTGGGGCGTGGTGGTGGATGGATACGTGCCTTAAGGGTTGTTTGTTGTTTTTACGCGAAACTCTAGGTCCTGCTCTCTCTGCATCAATGGGTGCGACTTTGGTATAATTAAAAGGATTAATTAATAATATTGTATGGAATTCACGCAGATTAGTCAGCATTTATCTGCCCTATATCTTGGTCATGGACTCATGTGCATATAAAAAATGCATAGATTTCTACTAGCCTCAATGGAAACGACAGAAGTGATGCCATGCCACCATTTGCAATAACTTTCAAGCAAACGACTGTCGTATTGGTCAAGCAAGTTGGGTGGTAGAGAGGGGTCCCTAGCAAGCAGGAATTGAATTGCTCACCCCTTATCAGGACATAGTTTTTCTCATAATTGACTTATCCCACTTCATTTCTAGCGGTGGATCCACCAGTTTCTAACAAGCTATTTACTCCTTTCTGAAACTGCCACTTCTCCCCCACACTCAATTTAATTATAATGTTTGAAAACTCACTCCTCTCTCTCTCTCTCGTTGGTTCTTTGGTTCGTTGGTTCGTTGGTTTGTTCGTTTGGTCTACATATTGGCATGGGAATAACACGTATGGGCGAATAATGGTATGAAGTACAAATTAGTGTATTTAATTTGTTTTAGTAACAATATTACAAAGTTGATGATGAATCGATCAATTGGCATGAATCATTAATGTGGTAGAGAGAGGTAATTATTGGTACAATTAACGGTTTGGGGGGGGGGGCATATTTGCATTATAATTAAATCAGTAGTCTATTGCCCACACACTACACATCTACTAAGAGTTTTTATCAAAAATAACCAAAATTTACTACATATTTTCATAAATATTAGTTTTTATAAAAACTTTCAAAAATAGCCAAAAAATCACCTAAATAGACTAAAATGCTCTCAAACTAAGTGAGTGGAGCCAACTATTGTTTTTTTTCTTCTTTCTTTTAAGAACTTATTTGTCCATATTCTAAAACAATTTGCATTGGATGACAATAGAAAGAACCTAGGATCCTAAATTACATCATCGATTAAGAAAAACTAATCCAAATATGATACTCAATAAGAAAAACGTAGCAAAGAATATACATTTTAACTAAGTGCAATTTTTTAAATTCAAAGAAACGAGCCAGCGGCCCACTACTAGCAACACCGATATTATCCTCAACTTAACCACATGTTTAGCATGTGTGGGGTTTTATACAAAATGCCTCGATATTATTAGAAGTGGAACAATTTATTATATAGGACTTTCTAATTATTTAAGTTTCCAATGTGAGACTGTGCATTCTTCAACACTCCTCCTCATGAGGGATGCCACGCCCCAATTCACAGATTTACGTAACCTTGGGTTAAGACATGATTCACACATTAATTATTGAATTTAATAAAAACTATAATTAAAATGTAAAAAAACATTTAAATAAATAAAATAAATATTTCACATAGAATATTAAGTGGAAATGGCAACTTCTGAAATCTTAAAAAATTTACATTATTTTACAAGTTAGAACTACTCGAGATTCCATTAAAAGAGTAGCTCATTATTCATCCACAAGCTATGTGCACCAATGCACTCTATAGATATGCCAAAATCATCACAAGCTCTAGATTTCAGGTTCTCTACCTGCAAAATCTATTAGGGGGTGAGCGAAATCACAGCTCAGTAGGGACATAAACCTTTTTACATGAAATTGATATAATTAAATTAAGTGACATATAATTACACAGCCAAATATCACATTATTAATAATAATGCATGAATGCTCTTCTTCTAATCTCATTAATTCATTTAACTGGACAAGCAGACTTGCACGTCTCATACCATGCTTATACCACGTGGTCCCGAATGCCAATTTATATGAACTAACACTCATCTCAATCATCCCACAATTCCCCTTTTGTTAGTCATCCTATCTAACTCCCTGTTGTCAGTCCCGAATCACCTAATAAAAACCATGTGCACTGTGGGATCTCAGGAGTTAGACTCAACTACACAAAAGACTATTTCCATTACCCTCTTTTCCACCATTATTTTCTCAACCCCAGAATTCTAGCTAAATTCCATGACATGATATAATTATGCCCTTCAAAACAATGTAGCCATTTAAAACATCACCAATGCATATATAATTATGTCAACATTGTTCAAATAGTTAAGAGTACGTAAACACCCAATACAAAGAACGTCAATCAAACAGTACCATTGTTGCATTCCTAAAAGGACACAAATTAATGTGCAAACAACCAATTAAAAATACCCGCAAGTGCACGAATCTATCGAAGTATAGATTATGTAAGTACGGGGTCGATCCCACGAAGAACTTGTCGGCTTCCTATAAGTTCTAATTTGAGTACGTAAAGAACACTTATTTAACACACCACAAATGCACAAATGAAAAAGGGAAACTAGAAATGAGTAAAGAAGTGTAAAAGAAATGAAACAACACAAGAAAACTAAAGAAAAACACAAACAACATTTTCTGTCACCATTTTATCACCACTTTATCACCTGTGAACAGTGCTAAAATAGTGCGTGAACAGTGTCCGGAGACCGGACGTGAGGTAAGAGCGACCGGTCGTTTTGGGTCTGGCGACCGGTCGTGAGGTAAAAGCGACCGGTCGTTTTTAGGCAGAGTCGAAACTTCAAAAATGTGTGATGAGCGACCGGTCGTGAGACACTAGCGACCGGTCGTTTTTGCACAGAGTCGTTTTCTCTGTTTTTCAGTTTCGACCTCTGTCCAGTGTTTTGCCTATAACTTTCCAACCGTACGTCCAAAATTCACGTTCTTTATACGGTT